CCCCCCCCCCCCCAGCCGATTCCTGGCGCAGTGGGGGCCCCGTTCTTGTTACCGTGGTCGTCGTGGTCCCGGCCGTGGATGTAATAACCAAGCCACTCAGTCTCCAGATGACTCGACTAGAGGGGCGGTCGTCGTGTTTGCGCATTGGATCTCACCCTAAGCCCCCCCCCCCCCCCCAGCCCATCATCTCCAAACATCAACGCTGAATGCATAGACACCTTTTAAGGGAGTGGACTCAACTTTGCAACGGCTACATCTGACTATGACGGCGGAACCTCTATCATGCCGCTGGATTCTCTTCCCATGGCAGCAGACGTGGCGAACGCTTGCTCAGTGATCCAGCCGTCGAGCTCGCGTCCGCGTGCGGCCCGGAGCCGAGCTCGATCGCGAAGCGCAACCGAGAGCTGCGCAGCCCGCCGACGGACATCCTGCAGCTGGTCCATACTTGCCTCCAGTTGGTCCTGTAGCTCGTCCATGGCCACATCGTGTTCGCGGCGACGCTTCTGCATGATGGCCTCGCCTCGCTGCGCGATAGCGGCGTCTGTCAGTCGCTTTGAGACCAGCTTCTTGCGCTCCCACTTGCGGCGCCAGGCCCGGTCGGCCCGGACCAGCCGCGCTCGGGTCGCGCGGTTGCGCCATACCTTGAATGTCCATCCTCGCAGGTTGCCAAAGTAGGTGAGGACCGCCACGCGTTCCAAGCGCATGTTGGTGATCGCCTCGCGCCACGCTCGAAGCAGGCTGGGCATGCGGGCATGGAGCGAGATCTCCACCACCACCTTGTGCCTCATCAGCTCATGCTCCAGCTCAACTTTGAGCTCGCGCACATGCGGTGCAATTTCCGTCGCAGGCTCCGGCACCTGCCCGTCACGCCGTCGCCATGCCCGCGTCGCCTTGGTGTACCAGTGCCAGACTGCAAAGCCAAGGCTCAGCTTTGTCCGTAGCAAGGCCGTGTTCAGCTTGCGCGCACCGGCCCGTGCCCGCGCTTCCCGCTCCCACATCCGCCACGCCCGTACAACAAGCGCCTGCTCCTGTGGCGCGGCAAAGGCGTCGGCCGCCTCCGCAATCTGTGCCCGGTGCTCGACAACCGCGCGCCAGGCTCGCAGCGCCCGGCGCGCCACAATGACCTGCAGCACACCTGCTAGCAGATCTGCCTTGTTGCGCCGGACCCGCGCCTCGCGCTCCGCCATCACCCAGCGGAACCAGTAGACCGACGCTCGCCACAGCGCAAACGTCCGCGCGTGCCGCTCGTACGCATCCTCGACCAGCGTCGTCTCCTCGGCAACTCGGCCCGCCACGTCCACCGACACGCTCTTGGCACACACCGCCACCATACCGGCCTCAGCTACGGGCTCGGGAGTACTGACCATCACTGGCTTGGCGTCATATATCAGCAACGATCGTAGTGACCGCGACCGCGACCGCGAGAGGAGCAGTCCGCTCACGCTCCGCATCAACCTGCTCATCTCACCGTTGTCGTCGTCGCTGTCGCTGCTCATGTAGATCTCGCCCAGCTCGGCGTCTTCCAGCGCCACACGGATTTCTTCCGGCACCTCCATCTCGTACAGATGGCTCCGCGACGTCGACCGGACAGGAGCAGCGAGCTTGGCCCGGCGCAGCAGCTGCGCCGCCCCCTCGGTGTCGAGCACCTCGGCGGCCCCGCTGCGCCCATCGCCGCTGTCCTCGGCCGAGCGGATGGGTGCTAGCACGGTAAACTGCTTCATCAGCGCAGCTCGGACCCCGGTCGATAGGTCAGCCACCGTTCTCGCACTGCTGGCGGCCGGTACATCCATCAGATCTGGCAGATCCGGTAGAGGGCCAAGCCTTCTTCGCGACGGCGATCCAGGCGATCGAGGCGGGACACTATCCCCAAGCTGCCGCCGCATTCCTGACGGCGGCGTCCGTCCATGTGCTTCAACCAGATGGAACACAGCCGCCACCGTCTTTTCGCTTGACAGCGGCAGCCTCCCGCCGACATCGCCAGCAGCCTCTATCTCGACCTCTGTCTCGACCTCTGTCTCGACCACCAGCTCTGCCAGCAACTTCTCCTCCAGCGGAGGACTACTTGGTCGACAGGGGATTCTGTATTGGTCCAGCCAATGCCGTGCCCGGGCCATGCCTGTCGCCCTCCCTCCCTGCCTTGGTCAGCTTCCGTGTCGTTGGCGTCGAGTGCTGGTCGTTGGCCCTTGAACCACTCGTTCAGGACTGTTGCTCAACTCTGGCGTGTACCACCTCGCCTGATCGACGATGACCAAAGTCAGCACAAAGGTCATACTCCTTGATCCATCACTTGTTTGATGTGTGTCAAGCAGCTCGTCTAGTCCTCCTCTCCGCGCTTCTGGACGATTGGATGGGAGTGGGGCAGACTGTTGACAAAGTGCATGTGGTCAATCCGTGGACACATCGCGGCTGCCATGCTCCATTGCTGCGCCCGAAGCCCGATCGATGGATGATAACCAACGCCCGTGCCGAGGAGGAGCCAATAGCCACCAACACAAACCCGATGTGTGCCCAGCATCTGGTCTTCTTTCCCATCTGTGCTTTCGGTTAATCGTATCGGGTATCAGTTGACAGATGATGAGCATCCCCCCCCTTCCCTTCCCTTCCCCTTCCCCTCCCCCCTTCCCCGCCCAGTTTGGGTCCGTTGGCCGAACTCAGCCACTCTCCGCCACTCTCCCCCCACCCCCACCCCCCACCGCCACCCCACTCCACCGCGCCAGCCACCGAAGCCCACCACCTTCCTCACCCCCTCGACATTATAGAGCGAGCGGGCGAGCGAGAGGGGGCATGTCCGGACGGAGTGTGGCCATCCCGTTGACATGCAACGTGAAGGATGAGCTCTCGGGCGTGTTCACGGTAAGTCGAGGCCGAGCAGAGGTTGGGGGAAGGGGGGGGGGGGGGAGGGGGAGGGGGAGGGGGGACACAGACTCACGGGTGGTGGTGGTGGTGGTGGTGGTGGTGGTGGTGGTGGCAATGCCGGCGATGGTGGGGTTGTTGATGATGGCGATGACGATGGTGGCGATGGTGGTGATGGTGGTGATGGTGGTGATGGTGGTGATGGTGGTGAGGGCAGCTGTATGAGGTGCACTTCTCCGAGCCAGGGACCAAATCGTGGGCGATCCAGCATCGATACTCGACGTTCAGGGCGCTGCGGAAAGAGTTGATGGGCGAGTTTGGCAAGGTGCCGGTGCTGGCAAAGGGCTTTCCGGGCACAAAACTGTTCAACAACACCTCGCCAAGTGTCATCGAGGAGCGGAGAGCTGGTCTCGAGACGTGGTTGGAGGCTGTTGTAGAGCTCGACTCGTTCTGGCTTCACCCTGCCATGGTTTCTTTCTCGGGCAAAGTGGCTTATCTGGCGGCTCGCGAGGAGATCCGCCTGGCCGTCGAGGCACAGGCAGCGGCAGAGGCTGCTGCCGCTGCTGTGCCTGTGCCAGGAGGGGATCTGGCAACCCAGCCCCCGACTCAGACGTCACAACGCCCAGTCTCTGGTCACCTCGACATGCCTGGTGAGGCGTACGATACTGCTGAAGTGTCGGCGTCTCCATCGTCCGAGACCAGCTCGGCGTACGCAGCGCCAGCGTCGGTCACGGGAACGAGCGCGAGCACGAGCGGCGGTGGATGGGGAAGCAGCGCAGGGCCAGCGGCAGAGCCCACGCCGCCACCAGCCACTGTCGAGGTGGCGTCTGCGGTTCGGGCTGATGCGATTCCGGGCCGTAAGACCTCAACACCGTCGCTCCCGCCAGTCCGCTTTGTCAACACGACCTCGTTTGACGATACTGTGCGAATCTCCAAGGATGAGGCGCGCAGCCGGCTCCGAGTCCCGCAGCTCGACGAGGCCAAGAACGAGCGCGAGCGGCTGCACGCGCTCGAGTACGACCGACAGGGTCACATTTTTGGGCGGACAACGTTCCAGAAGACCAACGTAGCGCACATGGCGGTCATGCAGAGTCCGGAAATGCTCAATCCGGGCACTCCTCTTCGCGAAGTTGTCGGCCAGTACCAGCATGTCATCGTCAATGGCGCCGACAAGCTCGGCGACGAAAAGATCGACGCCGGCCGTGCCGCTAACAACCAGGGCGTTGCGCTAGTGCATCTGGCAGCCATCACTCTCGAGTTTGACAACGACGCCGCAATCAGCCTGTACAAGGAGGCGCTGGCAGCGTTTAAGCTTGCGGCGACCTTTCCCTCGGGTGCGACCAACGTGCTCGCGCCCGAGGCTTCGCGAGTCAACATCGGGGTCGCCGAGTTCTATTACGGACAGGCGCTGGCGCGTTCGACCGACTCGGACGCCCGCGCGGTGCGGACCCAGCTGCTGACGTCTGCGGTAGAGATCCTCGAGGCTGCCGTGGTTGGGTGGGAGGCGCACGGGAACGACGAGCGCGACGACTGGGGCTTTGCGCACGTCCTCCAGTACCGGGTCCTCATCATGCGGGCGGTGTGCGCCATTGTCGACTGCGTCGGGTCGGGCGAGGGCGAGGCGGCGGTGGCACTGCGGCGGCATGTTCCGGTTGTTCTCGAGCATATTGACATGGTGCGGGTGGAGCACGACGTGGCTTGGGTGACCATCTTTGGCGTTCTCACCCGCGCGCTTGATGTCCGCAAGTGGGGCGCGTTCAAGTCTGCACTAGAGCAGCTCAACAGGTGGCACGCTGAGCTGTACGCCGCCTTTGAGGCGCGGATGGAAAAGTCGCTCGATGCTGACGTGCTCTCCATCTATGCCCAGCTTCTCACGCTCCAGGCCAACAACAAGCAATTTGACGGCGGCAAGATGCAGGAGCGCTTTGCCATGATGGCCGCCGAAAAGATGCAACTTGTCACACTCCTCGACTCGCCCGCCTTTGTCTTTTACGCCGGCCATCTGTACAAAAAGGGTCGCCGGCACAAGACCTACAAGCGGCGCGGCTTCCTCATCGATGCATCGGGTGACCTCATCTACGCCGACTCGTTGGCGGCCGTGGATCTCGCCGATCCCAACGGCCGCATTCCGCTCGCCGCCATCACCAGCGTCGAGCCTGCCGAGACACCAGCCAAGGTCCAAGCCAAGCTCGGTGTCGGACCGGCCACCTCGCTTCACATCGTCACCGCCAAGCGGGTCTACGAGTGCGTTGCCCACGCCCAGGCCGAGCGCGATGTGTGGATGGCCAACATTTCCCGCGCCATGGCCATGGACACCGCCCTCGCCGACCGGGCATCACTCATCGGCGTTGCTGCCCCTCCTGCTGTCGCGTCGGGCATCTGGGACTTTGTCGTCCACATCCGCTAAATCATGAGTGATGTGTCAGAACGACAGCAAACGGTGGGTCGAGCGAGAGCAGCCGGCCGGGGTGAGCGGGACGGTCGGACGGGCGTGGGCGGGCGGATCGTGCGGGACGACACACACACACACACACACACACACGCACACACGCACATACATACACAACTCTGTCGAACTGGGACGGCCGAGTGGAGGTAGCCAAGAGAAGAAGCGAGGTGAAGGGATAGGCAAGGTCACTCACTCTTCCCCACCCCCTTCATTCCTGTCATGGTCATCCACTCTATGGCTGTGGCGGTGGCGGTGGCGGTGGCTGTTCTCGCTCTGGCCCTGGTGGCCCTCTCCCCGCCTGTGGGCGGAACATGCGGTGACTGGGCCGTTGTGGCACCCGAGGACTGCGACCCGCCTGGCTTTGCCTGTTGCAATCCTGGTACGAACAGAGTAGAGTGCTTGGGGGATGTGGTCTGTGTCTGCATGGTGTGGCGAGCTGTTGGAAGGTGGGGGTTGTCATCGGGTGTGTGAAGCATGGCCTTGGCCAGGGTGAGGGGGAGGGGGGGGAGCGGGGGAGGGAGGGAGGGGGGATTGGTGGCTCACAGTGGGCGCGGGGACTGGCTTCGGATCGGTGGCGAACAACGGCATGGTGGGGGGGGGGGATTGGTGGCGGTGGGCATGGACTGAATGGACTGGGATGGACTGGGATGGACTGGTGGTGGTGGTGGTGGTGGTGGTTATCATCATGATGGGTCATGATCATATTCGGTGTTGAATGTGGTGATCATGGTGATCATGGTGATCATGGTGATCATGTCGTGGTGATGCCCCTACCCGTTGTCGGCTACAGCTTGCGAGTTTGCGTCCTCGTCCACACAATGTGTGACCGGGACTGATACATGCTTCACCTCATGCACCACACGACGTCCGGTGCGGTTCTGCTCCGGATCGTCGGCGCTGTGCGACGCGCCAGATACCTACACCTACGCCAACTGCCCGGCTGGGACGGTGTGTCCTGGTGGCGGCACCGCGTGCGCTCGGCCTCGGCTACCAACGCGTGTGGCACCACGGCTGCATGCATCTCCTCGACCACGCTGCGGACCTCGTTCTATGGCTGCTCCGGCGGAGGAGGCTGCGATATGACCACACCGCGGGCCACTTCGGACAATCCGTCGGCCTGCTCCGGCGGCGAAAACTCGATATGCGTTGGCTCAGCGTGTGCCAACTTGTGCGGAAACGCCGCCGATGATGATGGCGACGGCATTGTCGATTCCTGCGACGCAGACTGCACCGGCTCGGCTGCTACCGAGTGCCCAGCTGGCGCATGCTGTCTCTCGTCGGGCTGTCACGCCAGTACAGACGTCCAGTGCGGTGCAACGGCGTGGACCTGTGCCTCGCTCTGTACCCGCCAGCGGACGCTTTTGAACTGCTCCGGCTCGGACGCCGCCTGTGGCTCCGGGCCATCTGCGGTCGAGACCGAGCACTGTGGCGCCGGCAGCGTGTGCTCGGCCGGCTCGTGTGTCCCTGTCTCTGTCACAGCCTCGTGCTCGACTGCCGATTCTTGTGCTTCGGCGTCCGCCATCAACCGGACGTACCACTCTTGCGACGGCAGCGGCTCGTGCTCGGCAGCAGCGCCGTCGGTCACGGCTGCGCTTGCCACCTGCCCCGGTACCGAAAACAATGCCTGCGCTGCAGGGGTCTGTACAGACCTTTGCGCTAACGGGCTCGACGACGACGGTGATGGGTTTTTTGACGCCTGCGACGGGGACTGCGGCGGACCGCAGTGCAGTTCCGGATCCTGCTGCGACACCAGCGGTGGTACGACCAATGGATGCTTCCGCGACACGTCTGCTGTCTGTGCCGCTACCGGTGGTGTATGCATTGGCGCCGCGCCGTCGTGCTCGCGCTCGCTTGTCCAGACACACTGTCCGGGCAACGCCACCAGCTGCTCCGGGACAACATCGCTCTCGCCGGTTCCCTGTCCGTCTGGCACGCTCTGCGAGAGCGGGACTTGTGTTGCGCCGCGCGCCAATCTGACCTGCGGAGCGTCGCCGCCGTCCGGCTGCGCCTCGCTCACCGCCATCACCGCCGTTTACACCGGATGCAACAGCACTGGCGGCTGCGACGTCCCGAGTACGTCATCTACCGGCACTCTCTTCTCTGCTGGCTCGTGTGACGGTCACGAAGGCTCGCGCTGCGCTGGCGGTGTCTGCGTCGACGCGTGCAGCAACGGGCTCGACGACGATGGCGACGGCTTTGTCGACGCTTGCGACGCCGACTGCGGTGGCCCGCAATGCACCTCTGGCCCGTGCTGTGAACTGGATGTACTCTCGCCGCTTCGCGGATGCTACCGCAACCGGACGAGCGTGTGCGGCGTGTCCGGTGCCAGCTGCGTCGGCAGCTGCACCACTCTCGGCTCGCTCACCTACTGCTCCGGCTCGGATGCTGCTTGCACAGGCCCAGTCGTGCCGGACCAGCCTTACGACTGTCCGCTCGGGACTGCGTGTTCTGCCGGTGTGTGTGCCACAGTCTCGGCCGACGCCTCCTGCCTCACGCCCGAGCCCGCCGGCTGCTCGAGCAACGGCACCGCGCTGGCCGACGCGTATGGGTGCGACGGTGGTGGAAGTTGCCGCGACACACCGGTCGACCGCATCCGGGTTGGTACCGCCTGCGGCGGCAACGAGGCGTCGTGGTGCGTTGACTCGGCCTGCGTCTCGGCCTGCGCCGACGCAATCGACAATGACGGTGACGGCCTTGTCGACGTCGCCGACCCAGACTGTGCTGGCGTGGCTGCCGCGCCGTCGCCGTCGGACCCGGTGTGGGCCAGGGAAGCGTTTCTCATTCCGATTGCGGTGCTCGGCTGTTGCATCCTCCTCCTCCTCCTCCTCCTCCTCGCCTTTTGTCGCTCTGGTGGCAACGGCGGCGACGAAGCCGAGGCAAAGCTCGCACTTGACGAGAACCACGACCCAATGGTCGACCGGTCGACCGGCGTCTACGTCGGCTACGCGGTGCACTCGGGCTCGCCGGCGCGTGCGAGCTCGATCGCCTCGGCCGTCTCGCCGGCCTCGCCGGTCTCGCCAGTCTCAGCAGCATCACTCTCGATCTCCAATCCTGTCTACGACAACCTGAGTGTCTTTGGCCACGAGTCCGACCTGTCGCGGACCCACTGGGGCGACACGACTGAAAATGTGGTTTATGACGACGAGGCTGCCGATGTGGTGGTCGTCTACGACCCGGCCATTCTGAGCTCGCGGCTTCCGGTCTCGCCGGGCGCCCCCGTGGCCGACCGCGGTTCGCAGCTCCGACCGTACCGCCGCTAATAAAAGGGCTAAAACGTGTCGTGCGGTAGCGCCGTGATCATGCTCTCGTCAGCGAGTGCCGAACCATGCACAAACTGGGGGTCGCCTACAACCAGCGACGAAACTATGGCGTCGTTGGTGGCCAGCAGCGAGGCACGATACAGGTCGTCGTCGCGGCTCGCGGCATCGAGGCCTGACAGCGGGCGGTCAGCAGCCGAGAGCAGCGGCGTCGGCGCCGCGCCCACGGTCAGCCGCTCCACCTGCGCAAAGGCCTCGCTCAGCATGCCCTGTCCATCGACATTGGCGACATTGGCAACGCTCGCAGGATTGATGACCACATCTGTTGAGGATGCCACCGAGTAGGCATCGTCGGCATAGACGTAGTCGTCCGACGACGACGCCAGCGAGTTGCACGACGCAGACAGTGCGTCGAGCGAGGTGGTGAGGCGAGGCGGCCCATCCGGAAGAAGAAGCTCGTCATGGAGTGGCGCGATATCATCGTCGCTGTGATGGCCCCCGCTACTGGCACCTACTGTCGCGTCGAGCGAGGTAAACCTGGCAAAGAGTGCGTCGAGGCGGGCGAGCTTGGAGGCAGTGGCGGCGGTTCGCGGGGCGCGCGACGGCGAAGCCGCGGAAAACTGCGGGCGCGGCAGGTGCAGCAGCTCGTCCGAGTCGGAGCCGGACGCCGAAGCGTCGCCGAGCTTGAGCCGGGCGCGGATGCGAGCGCGCGATGCGGGCGTGAGCACCGCATCAGGGTCGTGGGCGTGCCGTAGCGAGAGCGCGTATTCGGACGGCGGCGCGCCCGACGCCGCCAGCTCCTGGACATGCTGCTGCAGCAGGCGCTTGGCGGTAGCCGGCGACGACCGCCGCGACCGGCGTCGGCGGCGTGAAGTGTCAGGCGAAGCCGATCGCCTGCTTCGCCGTGAGCGCGGCTTCGACTGCGGCACCGGCTGCGCAACCGGTACCGGCGGGTGGTCGACGTGGCGCCCCGGCGGGTGGCGGACGCGGCATGTCTCGCAGAACCCGTGATGGCGCGGCCGCCGCGAGGCCTGTGACGACTGGGGAATAGTGTCGCGGTACCGCTCCGGCGGAAGCGGGGAGGCAAACGGCACTTTGCCGCGACGGACCTTGCGTGGCGGCGAGTGGTTTGCGGTGGCTGCACGCGGAACGCGCGTCTGTGGCCGAGCCACACCCGGTGACGGCGAGCCGAGCGCCGAGAGGGTGAGCGGAGCGGGGTGGTGCGGCGAGCGCGGCGGAGCGCCGACCACTACTCTGTTGTCAAAGATCGCGCCAGGGTCGCGGCCGCGCGGCGCGTCGGCTGTGTAGTCTGCTGTGGTGGGGAGCCTGAGCTCCGGCCGGTTGGCGGCGACGATGCGGAGGAGCTTGCGGTAGACGCCGGCGTTGCGGATGATGGCGCACGAGAGCTCGGGTGCGCCGCGGATAGACTCAAACTCGGTGGCAAGGAAGGCGAGGATGGCCGAGGTCAGCCGCGAAGTGTGAAGGACAACCGAGATAATGACGAGAGGGAGCAGGATTGCGCGCGTGAGGCCGCCGCGGAAGAGCGAGGCCATGATCGCGTTGAGCTTGACCAGCATGGGCCCCTGGTCGCGCTTAAAAGCCGCCGTAGCATCCTCGACGGCGGCAGCAAACTCACGCTTGGCCTCGTGAAGAGAGCGACGGAGCGAGGCCTCGACGCGATCTGTGAGGACGGCAAGCGCGTCGCCGGCCGCCGGACCGTCGTTGCGGGTGAGTGCAGTACGGACTCGCTCGGCCACCGCCTGCTTGTGGCGCTCGATAATTTCCGCAGCTCGAGCCTCGTTGTCGTCAACCAGAGCGGCGTGCTCGGCCTCAAAGGCTGCACCGCGCGCTGCGAGCGCCAGACGAGCGCGAGCAGCGTCTTTGAGCAGAGCAGCGGCGTTGTTGCGGAGTGCAGCGACAAAGGCGTCGAGAGCGGCGGTGTCGACCGAGTCGGGCAGCGGATGCGGGAGAGCGGCACGAGCAAGATCAACCACCAGCGAGTCGTGGTGTGGGCCTGCATCATCGTGATGAGCATCGGCAAGAAGATGTTCGAGCGCAGCCGAGAGACGAGCATCGAGCGGGACAACAAGCGGCGGCACAGCTTGTCCGGCCAAAAGAGTCAGGGTAGGCCCCTGAACAGGTCGCGGCGGTGGCGGCGGAGCCAATCCGGAAGCAGGTGCGTGTGTAGGAGCGGGAGTGGGGGTGGGATTGTGAGCAGGGCGAGCCAAACCGGTCGATGCAAGCGCTGTTGTTGGTACGGCTCGGGAGCGCGGAGTAGCCAGTGGTGAGAGACCTCCGAGAGGAGTCACCTGTGGGTCTGGCGAGAACGAGAGTGCATGGGCTCCATGGCGGAAGGTAGTGCGGGGCATGCACCACGGGGCGAGTGTGTGTGTGTGTGCGTGTGTGTAGTAGTAGGGGAGGGGGGGGGGGGGGGGGTGAGGTGGTGGCAGCTGAGCCTGGAGTGTGTGGGTGTGGGTGTGGGGTGTGGGGGGTGTTTTGGCGGTTTGGCAACAAGATTGTGGCCACGTGTGCAGGGTGGGGGGTGATGGTGGTAGGGGGGACAGGCGAGGGAAGAGCTGTATTTGTGCCATCACTCGTCTTTGAGGTTGACACTTGTGCGTCTTCCTTCTCCTCTCTCTCTCTCTCAAACTTCTGACAACCTACGCTGCTATGAGCATGGGTATGAAGTGGATGGAGGCCATTGAGCATGTACTTGCTCACAATGAGCCTCCCATGCACTACAAAGACGTCCTAGAAATCATCATAGCAAACGACATGGTTCCCATCCGGTATGACCCTCCCTTTCCTCCCCCCTTCCCACCTGCCTTGACTGTCCTCTACCCCCCCCCCCCCCCTTGCTCCCCTGCCTCATCCCCCCCCTCTTGTATCCGCATCATCCACTTGCATCTGCTGCCGTCATCAGTCACAGGCTCTACCCATCTCCATCCTCCATCATCTTTGCCCATCCTCCCTCCTTGTACCCCTTCCGTCCCCCCCCCTCCGCCCCATTAATCTGCTCCCGCCTGATACTGCCTGCATACGTTGCTCCGCACGTGTCCGGACATGTGGATGTGGTTGCAGTTGATGTGTGCTTGGGCAATAAGTGGCTCCCGATGGTGGGGGAGGAGGGGCGCGCCTGGCAGGCGGCGGACCGAGGATGGCCTCTTTGGCTGGAGTGGCGGAAACCACGACCTTTTTTGGGTGGTCTTGCTTCGGAAACCACGACCTTTTTTGGGTGGTCTTGCTCACACAACACGCTATGCATGGACAGGGGAACAACGCCGTCGAACACGATCAACTCGGTCATCAACCAGGAGATCAACACCCGTGGTGACGAGTCACTGTTTGTCCGGGTCGGGCGAGGCATGTACCGGCTGCGGTCGGATACACGGCCGTCGGTGGGGGGCAAGCGAAAGCGCACGGCGAGTGCCAAGGGCAAGTCAAGCGTGGCGTCTAGCAAGCCACCGGCAGCTAAGCGAGTCAAGCCGCTGATGGGGACTGCGCGCGGACGGCGGGTCGAGGCCGAGCTGATCCAGGCGGCGCGGGTGGCACGGGCGCTGCTTGGGTCCAAGGCCGCGAGTCAGGCGTCGCCGACGGCGACTGACTCGGAGGAGACCAACGGCGAGTCTGACGGCTCGAGCTCACCGTACATCTCGCTAAGGGTGGCCGCTGTGGTGAGCGATGACGACGACGACGACGACGACGAAGGCGCCATCTCGCTGGAGGCGCCGTCGCTGCTCCCGTCCGAGGTCCCGTCACGTGCGTCCAGCTCTGCCGACGACGACGAGTTGTACTCGGAAGAGCTGGCGCTGTCGGATCTGGAGCGACTTCCGCATCGACGGGCGCGGAGCAAGGGCACCAAGGTGACCTTGGAGCTTGCCATCGGGCTCGCGGCGCACGAGGACGACGACGATGACGACGATGAGGAGGAGGAAGCCAGCGATGACGATGGGGCGTCGTGCTCGGTGGTGGTGCTCAAGGCGCAAGCGTTTGGCTCTGGAGATGACAACTCGATCGAGGCGCACGAGACCGTGGTCTCACACGACATTTTTGGGACGGCGGCGATGGTTGTGATGAGCGGGGCGGCGAGCGTGGCGCGGTACGAGCTTGTGTCGAAGAGCGACGCGCGGAACAAGCCAGAGCGGCTGTTCAAGCGGCCAAACGAGGACCGGGTCGCGTTCCGGTCGGGCTTCTGGCGTGACGAGCCGTTCTGGCTCTACCTAGTGGCAGACGGACACGGTGGCGCTGATGCAGCCGAGTTCTTTGCGGCTGCGATTCCGCCCAACGTGGAGCTTGTGCTGGGCGAGCTCCTGGGGCAGCCTGGAGCCGACCTGTCGTCGGAGGCTCTGCAGAGCGAGGTGCGCAGCGCGCTGCAGGCGCTCTTCCTCCGCCTCGACGAGCAGTATCTGCAGCAGCTGCGAAGTGCGTTTGAAGCGCGCAAGGCATCGCTCGGCTCTGCGGTACTGACGCAGGCGGAGATTGAGGCGACAAACCCGGACAACGGGACGACGCTTGCGATGGCGGTTGTCTTCCGCGGATTTGTGGTGACCGCCAACGTGGGTGACTCGCGAGTGATGCTCGCGTCCCGGCGCGGGAAGCGGGCGGGGTGGAAGGTGGAAGCGGCGACGGTGGACCACGATGTGGCGCACGTGGAGCGCGCCGCAAGCGCGGCCGGGGCAGGAGCCACCTTTTACGACATTGCCAAGGCTGCACCGCGGCACCTCTCGTTCCACTCGGGCCGGCGGCGGGCAGTGGCCGATGTGGAGAACTGCTACGTGGTGGCGCCTTCTCAGATGGAAAACCCGTTGCGCGTGCCGCGGCGCAAGCTGGCGATGACGGCGACGATGGGCGACCTGTTGTTCAAGCTCGATCCGGCCAAGCCGGTGCTCTCTGGCGAGCCGGACGTCACCTTTACGCCGCTCCCGAGCGATGGGCCATCGGTGCTGGTGGTGGCGTCGGACGGGCTGTGGCACGGCCTGCCTGTGGCGAGCCAGGCCGACTCGAACGCCATGGTGGCGGCGATGATGGGCACGCTGTGCGACGGTGGCGAGCCACCCGAGGCCGCGGCCAAGCACCTCGCACGGGGCGAGGACCGGTCGCGGGCCGGCGGCGGTGAGGTTGCACAGCACTACGACGACACGTCGGCTCTTGTGGCGTACCTGCTGCCGCAAGAGATTGACCATGTGATCCTGAAGCAGATGGCGAGCTGAGGAGGTAGCGCCGAGTGTGTTACTCATTGTTGCGGGGCATGCGGCTTGACTGCGGCGCCGTGGAGCGCGCCGAGTGAGTTAGAGGCCGACTTCCACCACGGGGCCTTGGCCAGGTGGTGCTGGATGCCGGCCATGGAAATAAAGATGGCCTCCTCGGTACGGATGGTGCGGGAGCCCTGGTGCGGGCAGGTGTTGAGGTAGTAGTCAAAGAGCTCGGCGGGCGAGTCGACAAGGACGTCGGGATCGGCCTCGACAGAGTCTTCGAGGCCGTGGACGCCACCAAAGACAATGAGGACGTGCTTGGCGGCGGTGAGGCCGTCGAGAGAGAGGCCCGGCTCGTAGACATCGGTACCGCGCTCCGAGGTTCCGATGGTGCAGTCGTAGCCGCCGTCGTAGGGCGACTCGGAGAAGACCTTGGAGATGGTGGAGGCGAGACGGGTGGTGTAGCCCCAGTAGAAACCGGCCTTGCGCGGCTCGTCGGGCGAGACGACACGGCCGCGGACCTTGCCCTTCTTGTCCTTGTAGGCATCGGCGTGGGCCCATGTCGACGGTGATGCGGATGCCGTCGCGGAGCATCTTGTCGACGCGGATGTCCTGCCAGAGGCCCACGTTGACGAGCGAGCCCATGCCCGGGCGCGGGCGGCGGGCAATGTTCATCTTCTTGGTCACGCCCTCGCGGTAGCGCGACCACTCGTCGATCCGCATGTGGTGCGGGGTGTCGAGCGGAGCGAGGATGCCGACCGACCGCAGATCGGCCGAGATGGGAAAGAGCGACTTGCGCAGGTACTGCGGCGTCTCCAGGTACGACAGCAGCTTGAGCAGGAACAGATCCCACCGCTGGGTCGAGGTCTCGGAGCCTGCCGTGCCCTCGCCAAAGACCACCACCTCGTCCACCTCAAACACCGCCAGTGCCCGGGCAATCTGCCCAGCAAGGAACGTCCGCAGCGCAGGCGTCTGTGCGTTGCCGATGATCGAGCCCGGAATAGCCAGTGTGATCGTCGGCTTCACCTTGGCTGCCTTGACTTTGACCGCTCCGTCCAGAACCTTGGCCCGCTTCCCGCCCGTCTCCTCGCTGGCGCTAGCCGGCGACCGTCCGCGCTTACGTGACTGCGCCGGAGAGGGAGCGGCACGAGGGGAGCGAGGGGATGACGAGGACGAAGATGACGGGGACGAAGACGAGGACGAGGACGAGGACGAGAACGAAGACGAGGACGACGACGACGACGACGACGACGACGATGATGACGAGTCCGAACCAGATGCGGAACCCGAGCCAGAAGCCGAGCCAGAAGCCGAGCCAGGAGCCGAGCCGGATGCGGAGCCGGATGCGGAGCCGGATGCGGAGCCGGATGCGGAGGGATGGGTGGTATGGGTGGAGGCAGTGATGGCAGTGGGTGATGGGGAGGATGGCGAGGGTGAGGCAGCGGGCGAGTCCATGTGCTCGCGGATGGGCTCAGAGGCTGCTGCAAGGTGGTGGAGGTCCGCAAGGGAGGGGAGTTTGACTCCGGGCTTGGGCATGGTGGGGGGAGGTGGGGGGGGTAGGGGGGATAGGAGGGTGGGGGGGGGGTGGGGGGGGGGGGGCGGAGGGTGTCGGTGCGGTACGTACTCGCCTAATG